CCTGACAGTTGCAATGTTATTCATTCGAGGATCAGAGACACTGAGGGAGGGAAGGATTTAATGTAGGAACGTTGGGGTTCGTAAGGGAACACACCTCCCTGGTTTGTTCTCTTGGGCCTAGGTTTTAAACAATTATCTCCTTGACAGAGCATCAGAGACATTTCCCTGATAATGAAGACAGGAAAGATGTGCCACCTCAGACATTAAGAATAACATTTGTCAAGCTCCAGTGTGCGTGTCTGCATGCAAACTTATAGTCACACTAAGTATTCACAACATGCCTTGCGTGTGTGCTTACACTCTGGTGGGACACTCCCTTTTTAAGAGGTGCTACCATTGACACCCTCGCTAGAATGGCTATATGCACATGATGCAACCTCACTTTGTTGACTAGATCCGATTACCTTATATGCTGCCACATATCCAGCTGCAGGTCTCAAATATGAGCAAGTTATATATAGAAAATCTAATATGTTGACCCTCGTGAGGTGTGGTGGCCCCAGGTGAGATGTAGCAAAGTCTCAAATGCTGGTGTTGAGAAAGGGCTGTGACCAGATCTGGAACTTCAAATCACAGTCATACCCACACATTCCATCCCATGACATCAAATTGCTGGTGGACTGTCTTGAGGATACTTTAGATAATTTCAAGTGATTTTGGAAAAAGGTGAAACTACATACATGTTTGCAGTCTGGAAAGTGTCAAGAGTATCTTTGATGGAGAAGTTCCAGATGGTCTGAATCAGTAACTGCGATTTCTTCTTGTAAAGTATCTGGCAGGTCGTAGCAGCATTTCCTTGCAGAAGAGGTAACTTCCCAACCAACCACAGCATGTCAGATAATAGTGGTTGCCATGTATGTCCAGACTCTGTACATATGTTGTATTGAACCCTTACAATAACCCAGCAAGGAAGATGTCAACCTCATGTATAGTCAAGAAAACAGATGCCCACTGAAGTCTTGTTATCAAGCAAATGGGCTTACTTTCTGGTTCGTGCAGAGAAGCCAATACTATGTGGCACCAGCTTTTGAGAAAAGAAAGGCTTTATTTGTAAAACCAGTCAGCATGGAGACAGGTGTGAACTCAGACCAGTCTCACTGATTTCGGGTCTGGGACAAATTTATGGGATCAGAAGGCAAGGAAAGGATTTAGAAATGTTGACTTGGTAGGGTATGATTGGAGGGTTTTCAATTTAACCTTTTACACAAAGGTATGTTGAGGCAGCTTTGAGCCCTAGATATTCCCGACCGGTGGATCCCTTGCTTCTGAAAGAATTCCGGTATCCATGTTCAAGTCCTGTCCCTTTCTTCCTAGTTCTGAGGGGACGATTCATTGGTTTTGGATGTTGCTAGAAGTCAAAGCTTTTTCTATTGCATATGCCTGGGCTCCATGACTCACAGTTGGGGCTCTGTTACACCGAAAAGGTAACTTGGCATTTTGTTACCAACAGAGTAGGCACATTATGAGTGGGCCGAACATTACAGTCAAAACCTCATCCAAGAATGCACAGCTAGAAAATAGCAACCCAGTTATTTTAAAGCTCCAAGATTCCCTGGGCTTTTTTCTCATCACTTAACTTTTCTGAGCCACCAGTACGACCCAACACGTTTCCTGTGAGTGTGGTTTCATTGTATTGTCTACCAGCATGTACCATGCCCTGACTCCTCTCATCAGTTTCTATACTCACCTCATCCTGCACTGGGAACCCCTTGGAAGAGCCTGCTCTCTGTGAAGTCTACTACTTTCTCTGCATTGGCTCATGAAGTCACACCTACCATGCCACATTGGTTCCTCACTCTTCCGCAGGTGAAAGTCTTACTCCTTATTGGTATAGTGTGGATGTTGCTCCCTCCAAATCTCATGCTGAAATATAATCCCCATTGTTGGAGGTGGGGCTTAATGAGAGGTGATGGGATCTTGAGGTGGATCCTTCATGAATGGTTTGGTGTCTTTCTCAGGGCAATGAGTGAGTCTTGCTCTATTAATTTACCTGAGAACTAGTTGTTTAAAAGAGCCTGGTGGCTCCTTCTTCCTCTCTTGCATCTGCTCACACCATGTGACATGCCAGCTCCCCTTGCCTTCCTTCACAAGTGAAAACTTCCTGAGGCCTCATCAGAAGCTGAGCAGATGCCAGCATCATGCAGAACTGTTAGCCAAATAAGCCTCTTTCCTCTATATAAACTACCCAGTCTCAGGTATTTTCTTATAGCAATGCAGAATGAACTAATACATCCCAATTTTGGGAGGTCAGTGATGGAGGATTAAGTGTCTTCTTTCTTTCCCATAAGGAAGCAGTACAAGCTGCACAGTAAAACCTTTCCTAAACTGAATGAACTCTCTAGACTAACAGTTCAATGATGACAGCTCCCATTCTGTTTAATCTTGTTTAATCGGACTTTAGTTATCTGAGGGGGTAACAAAATTTGAGGTATCAAAACAGGAAAGGTGAGGATCTTGAAATCTGGCTAAGTTTGGGTAGCTTTGTATTCTCCAGGATGGAACTGGTCACAGGGACTCAGGTTGCCAGGCCCAACCTCCTCGTACACGGTCAATAGACTAAAGCAAAGGACTTGGGCAGCTTAAATATATATATACATTAAATATATATAAAACATAGATAGAGATAGATGGATATGTCATATGACATAGAGAATATAGATAGATAATCAGTTAGCTTGGGATGTCAAGGAAGCCTACAAACTAGGATTTTCTCAAGGATCTCTAGACTTTTATTTTTTTCCCTAATGCAACAGTAGACAACCCTAGAGGTGTCTTAGATGTGTCAAGATCTAAGAGGTGTCAAGATGCCCTCGCCCTTAATGGGAAAGGAAGAAGAAAGATTCCTCAACTGGAAAGGAGTCCCAAAAGGCTTCACTACCCCTAAATCCTCACCCTGACATAATGGAGAACCAAGATGTTGCCTGCAACATGAGAAGATACTGTCAGGAACATTGCAATCCTGTTGTTTAATTTTGGGAGAGTTGCTTCATCTGCCAGGTTCTCCAGCTGTTTTTTTTCTGTATCTGTAAGATGAGAGGTGGGAACTAAAATCAAAGTTTCTCAATCTTTAATGTGCACAGGAATCCCCCGGGGTTCTTGCTTAAAAAGCAGATTCTGATACAGGAGATACGCAGTGGGCAATTCTGCATTCCAACCAGCTCCCTGCTGCTGCTGGTCCAGGGATGTCCCTTTGCATTTTTTAGTGGTTAGATGGTACTTAAAGTCCTGCAAGTACTTTATTTCCTTTAATGCAGACAGCACCCTCTCTCCCACACACACACAGGAGAGTTAAATCAATCAATGGCTTCCCTCCAGAATGAGATCAGTTCTGCTGGGTAAAGAGGGAGCTCTGCAGTAGAGATCCTGTGTGTGAGGAGTGAGGCTGAATGCCTGAGGCCAGATGGGAGCCATGGGGTTGCTGATTGTCTCAGGACAGCTGGTTGTCTCCAAAATGTAGAGACCAGCAAGTAAGGAGAGATGCTAACAAAAGCTTTTATAGAATAAAGTGAGCTAGAAACAAATAAACTGTAGGTTTTTTGGTTTTGTTTTGCTTTTTGGTATCATTTTACTTGACTGACCTCCATAAGAACTTAGTAAAACGATCCACCCAAAGTCACAGCGACAGAGCTGAAAGATGACGCAAGGATCCAATCTCTGACTTGCCCTAAATGCTCTCTTTTTCAGGTTTATGTGCTATCCAGATCACAAAAAACTTAAAAACAAATTCCTAAGTCTCCAAACTTTTATACTCTAAAGTAAAAAATACTTTAAAAGAAAAACTTCAGAAATTGTGAAGAAGTTATTTTGAGTGTATTACAGGCATTTTAATTACATGCAAACAAACACTTATGACTACATCAAAAGAATTGTATTAATAACATACGAACAAAGCAGATTTCCAGTTATATATAGAAAAACTCGTGGGCCCACCAGCACCACAAAACCTGCTTCCCCTCATCAGATTTCCTGATACATCACACTTGACTAGAGGAATCTGCACAGAAAGAGGAAATTCAAAGCTGATAAAAGAAGTAAAGAAAATAACTCAGATTTTTTTTCTATTTCTGTCTTTTGATGACACAAATCTTAAATAACATCCAGAGAGGGTACATATTAAGGGGAAACTATTTCAAATTAAAAGTATTTCTGGCTGGGCCTGGTGGCTCAAGCCTGTAACCCCAGCAATTTATGAGACTGAGGCAAAAGGATTGCCTGAGCTTACAGGTTCGAGACCAGCCTGGACAACTTGGTGAGACCTAGTCTTTACAATAAATCAAAAAATAAGCAGGCGTGGTAGCATGCGCCTGTAGTTTCAGCTACTTGGAAGGCTGAGGCGGAAGGTTGCCTGAGTCCAGTAGGTCGAGGCTGTGACCATGAGCATGTCACTGCACTCAAGCCTGGGTGACAGAGTGAGACTCCAACTCAAAAAAAAAAAAAGTATTTCCATAACTTGCCTTCTCCAATTATATAAAAGAGAAATGTAGAGTAGTTGTCCAAGCATCATTGGGTCCAAAAAGCTCTTTCCTTTCCCCAATAGCATCACCTCCTAAAAGCATAACATATTACAAATAACAAAAATACTAGAATATATCCCTTGATGATACAACTCCTTCAGATGCATTATTAACACCCCAATTGACTAGAGAGACAAATAAGTAGAAAATATCATGTCCAAAGAACGATGTCCCACCAAGTTTATATACAGGAATTCAAAGAGCTGGGAAGATTATTTAGAAATAATTACAAACAAATCATCTTTTATGTGCATCCCTGTGTAAGAAAAAAATCCTCTAGGTTAAAAAATAATTCTCTGGTCTCGGTTTACCCATTTGACCCCAACCTCTCTCTGCTCCTGCTTGTGGGAAGACCAGGCCCGCAGGAAACAAGACTGAGTTGAAAACGCTCTCTTACCTGCTTCCTCCAACCCTAAGCCCCTGCCCTCCTGTAAGATAAAAAATTCTTGAAATGACAGTCAGCAATTAATAACATGCGTAGAGGGCGGCTATTTTTGCTTTTTTCTTTATTTTTCGGAGTTTCCTTTCTAACTGAAGCTTTAACTAATTTCTCACTCGCAGAAGAAGTCAATATCCTGGAAGAAGAAAAAAAAAAAAAAGATTGAGCTGAGCAGGTTCATCCAGAAAACAAATGTAGATTTTTTTTTTTACAAAATAACATTTAATCAAGGTGAAACTTGGATTTAAAATAAGTAAAGGTTGACTTTCAAAGAATATAAAATAATTCTTACTTTAAGTAAAAAATGACTTACAATGAAGATCTTTAAGTAAACTTTTTTTTTTTTTTGAGTTGGAGTCTCACTCTGTTGCCCAGACTGGAGTGCAGTAGCACGCTCACAGCCACCACAGCCCCAACTTGCTGCTGGGCTCAGGCAATCCTTCAGCCTCAGTCTTCCTAGTAGCTATAACCACACCTGACTAATTTCTTTTGTTTATTGTAGAGACAGGTCTCACCAAGTTGCCCAGGCTAATTTCGAATCCCTGGACTCAGGCCATCCTCTCGTCTCGGCCTCCTAAAGTGCTGGATTATAGGCATGAGCCACATAGATCATTTATTTCTTGTCTTGAGTTTCTAGAACTCAGGGCATTAGAAGATGCTTGATTTCCTTCCATACATAAAAAAGTAGAGTCTATCTACCACACAAATAAGACATTCAAAATTTTTCTAGACCATTTTGATTTTATGTAAGACAGGTGCTAAGATTTTCCCTTACTCGTCTTTTGTGAATAAGTATAAACCAGCAATAAGACTCAGTACTATTTTGGTTTCTCTCCTTATGACATAGACTCCTTTTCAGAATACCTTGCATCTAAAACAAAAGGAGTACTGTATTCTATACTTAAAATTTGCTGGAAGGTTGAACTTAAGTGCTTTCAACACACACACACAAAAGTAACTATGAGAAGGAATAGATTTGCTAATTAGTTGTGATGATCATTTCATACTGTATAGGAATATCAAAACATCAAATTGTACACTTTAAATAGAAGCAATTTCTATTTGCCAAATATACCTCAATAAAACTGAAAAAATAAAGTAAAAAAGAAAAAAATTAAAACCAAAAAATAATAAACTGAAATAAAACAAAACAGTTTTGTATAGAGATGGCTCACTAATATTTCTGCATTGACAGTGGATATTCATGGTCTCCCAAGTCCCACCATCTCAGAAAAGTCACCTTTGGATACTGGGAGCATTGTTCTCTACAGCTTGTAAGTTGCATGATGCATTTTTAACACCAGTCTACCCCAAGATCTGAGTCCTTCTGTGGTCACCTTTGAGGTGCTTACCGTGGTAGGAACTTCCTTGGTGGCTTCCTGGTACACACGCTGCTCCTTTACCAAGTTGCTGGGGAAATAACCCACGATGCCCATCTCGTCCTGGTTGTCACCATAAACCTGAGTGCCAAAGAAAAGTAGTGATCAGGGGAGAGCTGGTGTGAGGATATTCTGAGAAGTCCTCAGTCATCCTCTTTGCTTAGTGGCCAGTATCTGCCTTTTACTCTGGGCTCCAAGGGGCTCAGAACCAAATCTGAAGTTCAATGATGGCACTAAGTTAAGCCACAGAAATCTTGTGTCTATTTTTTATGACCCATTCTTAACTTATCTCACTACTTTAGAATGACTTCATTTTATGCAGTCTTGAGAGTTGCCTGAAATCTTCTTGAAACTCATTAAAAAAGTCTATTTTTTACTGGAGATGCGTTTATTATAAAAGACCAGTATTTCTCAGTTTTTAACAATTCAAGTGAACAGATACATGAATGAATTTAAATGTAATTCTTCATTACTTTAGGACCCATCTTTGGGGCTACAGATGGGGACAGAAAAGCAATCCTACTTCAGCGCTGTCCAGGGCCCACCGTTTTTTGTTTTAACTGAAGAAAGCAGATTTTTAGAATTAAAAAGGGTGCAAAAGTTTCCCAAAAGAATATTGAAACTACCATCATATGACATACATGCCTTCTACTTGGCAAATCTTCTCAGATGTTTTTAAATAAGATTCAAACTCTTTGGAATGTTTGTGCCCGTGTGCTTGCCTTTTTTTTTTTTTTTCTTGCCAAAACATTACATTCATCTACATTTGGTTTTGTTATTAAAACTATCTTTGTGTTCTTAAAATGCAATCATAGTAAATATACCTAAATTTTTGCATTTCCATTTCCAATCTCTACATTGTTCTTAACAGTTAGTTTTAAGCATCAAAATGGGATGCAGACAGGTAATACTGGAAAAATTAAGAGCAACGTGTGTCAATTAGGTGTGTGTTTTTAATAATCTCATCTTACACTGCCAGCCCAAAATTCTCCAGCTTCATTTTCTTTTACCAGCTTTGAGTAAACATAGATCTGCTGCCCTTTTTTAACGTTAATGAACCTGCAGTCCGGGGCATTGTAATCTTCTTGGGCATTAGCCAGAGAAATGGTATCTGGAAGAAAAACAAAAGTTGGGATGACTATATTTTAGGTTTCTGAATTTTCTAACAGCAAAAAAGGCAAAGAAAAACTAGGAAATCAGAGTGACTGGCACTCCCAGTTTACAGCTGGTATCAATTCAGAAAGAGCAAGATAGCCAAGATATTAAAGTTGCAACAAAATCTTAGCCAAGTGAATTCTCCATAGGAAAACATCCAACATGCCATTGAGGAGAAACAAAGCAAATAACATACATATTGGAGAAGATTCACTTCAAAGTACAGTTCGATTTTATGCTGTTAGTGGATACATTTTCAATCATACAACAGAAAGATAATGAAAAGCATTGAAGAAGTTCTTACAGACACACTCTTCATCTGCACAGAGCTTCTTGGAAGAGAGTCGGTCCATAAATATTCCATGCACGGCACACACGGCCACAAGACCCAAGAGGAAAAGCAACATTATTCTTGCCATCTTCCTTTTTTGCTGTCTTGGCTCACACTCTTTGATTGGAAGTGGGGAATGCTTCAGTGGTTCCTGCCTTTTATGTGAAAGCCAGACCTCTAGGCAATACCCTCGGCCAATGGGAAGGGTCTACCCTCCCTCTGCTTTCCTGACAGGCTATTGGACTTCAGGAGCAAGTTAGCATCTTATTTTTCAAAGAGAGTTAAACGCTTGTCTTTTTTACACACAAATAATACCCAAATTGTCCGCATTGTTAAAGCCACTCTAGCTGTGTTTTTTTGCATCAATCATCCCGGCATTATTTTGAGGACTTTGAGGCTTTTTAAACCATTTTTAGTTTTTAGTTCAAGCCTCATTCTCTTTCAGCTTATGGGCAAAGATGTGCTAACTGAAAACATTCGTTGAAAATGTGAGATCTATATTTTTAGTACAAGTAATTTTGATTTAAACAAGTCCAATTCATAAAAAGCTGGACTTGTACAATAGACAGATAAAAGGATCCTTATGTTTACAAATCCTTCATGATAGGGTTCTTAGAGGGCTTATCTGTCTTAGGCCAGAGATGGAGTCTAACACACTAGTTGATGCCACACTGAAGACTCTACTAGTAGGGAAGGAGACAGGTGGGTTGGGGAAAAGGAAGAAACCTTTTCGCTACTCTCTTTCTCGTCGTACTCTAGCAATTCAGTCTCAAACGCTCATGGACCATGGGTCATAGAGAAGGAAGTAAAGTTAGACATCCATGTTACTCCCACTTCCTTGCTTCTGGGCCTCCTTCCTATGGAGAAACCGAGCACTGCTATAGGCACCAAAGCAGAAGTGCCAGCACCTGGCTCCATCTATCCAACAGGCATTTACTGAGAACCTACAATGTGCTAGGTACTGTTCTAGGCACTAAAGAGATGTCAGTAAAAAAAAAAAATGCGCCCAGGCACAGTGGCTCAAGCCTATAATTCCAGTACTTTGGGAGGCTGAGGCAAGAGGAGTGCCTGAGTCCATGGGTTCGAGACCAGCCCCGACAACTTGGCCGAGACCTTGTCTCTACAATAAAAATGACAAAAATAACCGGGCAGGGTGGCGGCACGCACCTGTAGTTCTGGCTACTTGGAAAACTGAGGCGGAAGGATCGCCGGAGCCCAGCAGGTCGACGCTGGGGTGGCGGTGAGTGTGCCACTGCACTCCAGCCTAGGCGACAGAGTGAGACGCCAACTCAAAAAAAAAAAAAATGTGGGGTCCACTTCAGGATTAGTTATAGGTATACAAGTGGCCATTGTACAGGTAAAGTTTGGGTCTCCCTTTGGTCCCACTTCACCTGGTTTGAGATTAGATACCCTTATTGATGTTATGTGCCACCCTCCCTCCCCTGGCAGTTTTCTGCTACTGCCAATCCCTTTCTTATAGAATTATGGTAAATGTTTCAGGGTTCACTTATGAGTGAGAACATATGGTACTCAGTTCTTTGTTTCTTTCTATTGGGAGAAACAGACAATAATTTGCTGCTTTTTATAGGGCGTTTGAGGCTGGCATCTCTCTCATAAGATGACCCTCCTTGCTCTGCCAGTCCATTGCTTCTAGAAAGAGACCCTTGGCGGGATGCCATCTCCACCTAGGTTGACATTGCAGCTTCAGAGCAATACCTCCTCCTCCCACCCCAAATGTAGTCCCTTGAAAAAATGAGGGACAAGAATTCAACATTCTAACTTTGTGCAAAACAATTTTCCAAAAAGATAAATAGGTTAAGCAAAATATACTTGTAGTGTGATTAAAAGTGTTTTGGGGGTGCATGTGTGAAATAGAGTTGGTTACTGTGTGTGTGTGTATGAGATGTTCAGGGTAAGATCTTTTATATAGCTGGTCTTGATTTGGAAACCTGGTTATAGGATCTGGCCCCTCTGACCCTTGAATCTTGCCTCCTGTCTCTCCCAATGAAAGGAGGGACCCCAAGAAACTTAGAATAAACTTAGTTCACATTTTGCCTCAGCATAGCTATTTGTAGTTTGATACACTGAATCTAGCACAGGTTAGACATATATAAATTTCCAATAGGCAGGTATTAGGAAGCCTTCAGACATTCTAAGGCAGCCCAAGCAACAGCTCATCCCACCCCCTCGGCAAATCTCCATCAGATGCAAGTCAAGGACAGAGCCATAGAAATGGTAACAGACAACCTTTTGGCCAAGGAATTTGTAGATTGCAAATGTCTGACAAAGTCTCTTACAGGAAAACCCCCTCCCCTTGTTTCCTCCCATCTAGCTCACCACCTGAGAGCATGAGATGTAATGTCTGGCAACCTCAAGATCTAAGATTCATGTGACTACAATCAACATCAAAGACCCGCAGCCCTGGATGCTACTCAGGGCCCAACCCCCCCTTCTCCAAAGGCTCTTAAATATACCTAACCTTTGGTCACTCAATGCCACAATTGCCTCTGAGTGTCAGCCCCCTTTCTGATCTGTGAAAGGTGAAAAATAAACTTTACTTCTGGCCGGGCACGGTGGCTCATGCCTATAATCCCAGCACTTTGGGAGGCCGAGGTGAGAGGATGGCCTGAGCCCATGGGTTCAGGACTAGCCCGGGCAACTTGGCGAGACCTCATCTCTACAATAAATCAAGAAAAATTAGCCAGGCATGTAGCTCCTGCTACTTGGAAGACTGAGGTGAAAGGAGCTTCTGAGCCCAGCAGGTGGAGGCTGTGGTGGCCATGAGCATGCCACTGCACTCCAGCCTGAATGACAAAGTGATACTTGGAAAAAAAAAAAAAAACACTTTACTTCTACTTTCTTATTTGGTTGCAATCTTGCATTATTCCTGAGGCCCCAGCACCAGCACCAGCACTGACCCTCCTTGCCGCAGTTGACCATTGCTTGGCACCAGTCCACCTTGCCACCAGTTGACCCTTTCACTCTCCCTCACTGTTCCTCCTATATCAGCTACTCTTTTCTGAAAACACTACTCATGTCTGCTTCAGGCCCTCCAAGCTTATATTGCCTGGGATGCTTTTCCTCCGGATACTGGTATTCAGGTCTCTGGGGAGATGCCTCCACAGTCAAACCAATCCAACAGCCTACTCATATACTCCCCAGCCCAATTCCTGAATCACACGGCTGTGCAACATTGTCCTAGGGCATGTAGCACTATCCTACATGCCTGGTTTACCTTCTTGGTGGTGACTTGTCTCCCAATACTACAATGAAAGGTCCACGAGGCAGGGATCTTGTCCATATTGTTCCTCACCCTATCATTAGCACCCAGAAAGATACTTAGTATATACAATGAGTATCCACTGAATGAATGCCTGATCCCTCTGAAATTGCATGCTTAGGTGTATGTACTTTCTTCCTGCAGTTTCTAGTTTTGAAAAGAGATTCCTAACAGCCCTAAGACTCATTGAGCAAAAATTAGGGCAGAGACTCTGGGGTCCTGCCACTTACCATCAAGCATGGTCCCCAGACCAGTAACTCTGACATCACTTTATAGAAATATTCTGTCTCTCAGACCTCACCCCCTAAATACACTACATCTGAATCTACACATTGATACTCAAGTAACTCAAGCACACTGAAGTCTGAAAAGTACTGCTCCAAGGCAAATAAATCAACTACAATAATTTTAGCCAGGGCTACGCATTCTTTAGGTCTTTGCTGGAGACATTTTCAAGGGACAAAATGCTTGTCCAATGATCACACAGAAGATACTACAAGTCATGAGACTTTAAACACAGGTGTGAGCCTCCTGGAAATTTCCAGTTTTACACTATCTTCTATTTATCAATATACTGTTCTAAGACAAGCAACAGTAACTGAGAGCAAGCGCCCAGGAATTTGAATAGTAGCCAAAAACATGGTCTGTTTTGAAATAAGAAACATTTTTTCCTCTTTATGTATGCAGTGATGTGATAATGGTCGATGTCCACATAAGTCTAAGAGTGGTCGTTTCATAAACATACAATAAAAAGTCTAAGTAATAAGGAAAAGGTTTCAAGAAAATCCTAAAACAGGAACACCAAAAAATGATTACTATCCCTTTTACTGTTGTTACTATTCTTCAATGTGTGCTTTTAAAAAAAAAAGTCCACTTCTAAAGATATCCATGGTTTGTTCAGTAGGGGACTGAATCAATAGTCTAAGTATTAATCAAAAGCTAAAGAAAATGGGCTTTGAAAGTATTTGAACACCAGTGTTTAAGAATTATAAAGTAGTAGCAAGATTAGCACTGGCAACTTTGCCAATCGGCCTATTTGTCTTTTAAAAAATTATAATTATAAAATCTCTCCCTTGGAGACCTTTCAATAAAGAGGTCAGACACTAACCAAGCAGTATTCCTTAGGAACTGTTCTACCTCGAGGGAAAGAGCTGAAAAAGCAAAATGTGAAGACAACAATCCCTTCCCCTCTGTTTCCCAGAAAACAGTAAGTACCGTAACTCCTAGATGGCCTTTATTCTATTAAATACCAAATGAAAATGTTCCTGGAATGTCTATTACCTGCAAAATAATTTTTTCACTTCTTTGAAGAACACAAAGATCAAATTTAGATCCTTCTTGGGTTTCATTTTCTTCTAATATCCAGAATGATCATCATTATCATGAATACAACAGTAGTCTACTATCTTCCATAATCGAATTCTCCTTAATTCTTATTAAAATGGTTCAATGTTGCTATATCATTAGTTGTTCCAAAAAACACTAGAAAAATATACTATTACAGAGTTTTATAAACCTTAAGATGTGTTCTAGACTAGAATAAGCATTTGATAATAAGGCAATGGGTCAACAAACAAAACATCATAAACACAGGATACAAATAAAAATTTATTGTACAAAATTAAGGCCTTCATATTTCATAGTTCACTAAAGCTAAAGAAATGCTAGATAATGTAAGTTCTTCACAAAAATTTCACTTTCACGCCCCTCTACCTCCAACTATTAAATGACCTGACCGAATGTTATCAAAACAAACACTGTAAATGACACCAAGTCCTTTAAAGATTACTGTCCCAGATGTTATTTCTTGGCATAGGTAATCTTCATGGCATGGGATGGTGTGATTTTAAATCCTTGTAAAGCATCCCTGGCAGCACCAGCCTGTCCATCATTTTCAAATTCAACAAAGGCAATGTCATGCCTCCCAGGTACCAAACGTACTTCCTTGAAACCAGGGAACCTAAAAAGGAAAACAGTTTATACATATATATATGCAACTTCCTGATATTGGCTCAGGAAAAGTAATCATATCCTAACTAAGAATCCTAAGTAGAGAAGATGAATGGTAATAATGTACATTAGTTCTATTTTTGTCTTTATATCAATTAGGACTGATAATTCAAACATTAGAGAAAATTTAGCTTTTTATTTGCTAAATAAATAAATAGCCTCAATTTTATTTGCTAAATAAATAAATGGCTTCAATTCATGATTAATCCCAAACCAAATCAATGAAAATGTAAGGAACTGTTGATGTGTGATGACAAACAGATTCAACCGATGAAAGTGCTATTTGTCCTGTCAATAAGCTTTGGGAAGCAGACATATTTATGAAAAAAACTTACTGATTAAACAGCATGGATAACATCATCTCGTTAGTCTCTTCTGGTAAGTTATTAAGGAATAAAATATAGTTTGGAGGGTAATCAGGGACCTAATAAAAAGAAAACAGGAAAAGTTAGCTTGTAAGTATAAACAACACTGTAAGCCATTTGGTCCTTACATTGAAACCTGAAGGTCAGAGAACTGCATTCCAGTTCAAATAGTCTTGTGAAATCTTAATGCACCAAACACTAAAGCTAAGAAACACCGACCCAGGAGAAAAAACAAAAACGTAACAGCAACATGCAAAGCAGATATTCAAGACCTTCCAACTGTGGAAGATTAAAAATCGTATTAAAGGTTTTAAGTATTTTACTAACAATATGTAAAACAATAAACAATACTAACATTTTAAGCATCTGGAGGCCAGTTATAATTGGAGATTTGTGTCACATGGATGCATAATTCAAAGTTCCTAACAAAACTACAGAAGGCAGTGATGTCATTCCTCCACAGCTGGTTACCATACTCAGTAACACTCAGACATAAGTCCTCTGCACTATTGTTTACCTCATTAAAAAAACTGAGATCTAGAAAGATTACCACTGAGAACCACTACTTGGGGACTTTTAATTTACTTTTTTTTGCAAGTAAATGCACAACATTTAGTTACATACAAATAAGCAGTAACAAACACTGCTATTAGGTATCCAGCTATTTATTTGATACACCACTCTGAAATTATAGGAAATCACAGGGAAAGTGTCCTGTATGTAACAAAAGAACGATTGTCTTCAGGCTAGTTTCACAGAAGAGAAAACATCAAGTATAAAAAACAATTCGTGAACAAATCAAGGCTTAGAGTTAATTGCTGGCATTTATGAACTGCAATATAAATCCTAAAGAGGTAAAGAAATTCAAGTAATGTAATAACAGAGGAAAAAAGCTTCAGCAGAACAGAGAATTCTATGGATTTAAGGATCCTGCCAGACTCCAGCATCAGAGGAAGCAAGTATGGAACCAACACATAACTGAGGCTTGAGAGGTATTTAGTGGGGAGATTTATTTAATAAGAAGTCTCTAAAACATTTATACAGAAGGCTTTAAAAAATAAGCCTGAAATGTATTTGTGTTGAGGAAGTGAGAGCAAGGGTAACTAACAACGCTACCTGTGAGTCTCTTAGAAAGCATAGTTGTTCCTCAGCCAACTGGAGTGGAGGCGAGCCCTAACCATACAAGTTACCCTGAGCATGTGCCTGCAAGGTCTTGGCTGTACCGTAGAAAAAACAAAATGTATGCTCCCAGTTCTTAAGAGTTTAAAATATGCCACTGAAATTCTGTTACTGATTCATTAAGAAAAGCAAGGAATAAAGTCAGGTTTTGTTTTCTCCCTCTTGAAGAAAATTAAAATGTTCTCAGAAGTGAGTTTCTATAGTAAAGTGGATACAATTTAATGTATTATATTTTGTAGATGAAATTATTTTACTTTTGAAGACATGTAAGCTGTTCTGTATTATTGTTACAATTTTTATAATTTTAAGGTAAGCACAACATGGAAAAAAAAATTACCTGGGGATTTGGTGTTGCGTTTCCTTGGGTATTAGCTGAATTTGGCATTCCCTAAACAACAGAGAATAGGGAAACAGTTTAAATTTCCAACCCTCCCAAACAGCAGCAGGTATTTATATTTATAATTACCAAGTAAAAATAATATTAATTTCAACAGGTTTCTTTCTTATTCCATTTAACCTTACTTTAAAAATTTACAACTTTAACACTGTCTCAAAATTCATCTATTTAACTTGTTATTTTTGAAAAGTCTAAGCTTTAAAGACTATATCACAAAATGTAACCTCTAAGTTTGAAAATAATGGAGAAATATATAAGACAAAAATTAAGGATTAGCCTTGTATTTAAAAAAAAAAATTGGATATAAGGCAAGCATTATATGTAGTGAAATTGATTTCTAATAACTTTCAATCCAGAAATAATTACCTTTGGAAAATTACACTTTTATCTGGTACTTCAAATCAGATTTTGCATTCCTGACTTGTTCTAAGAAAGAAGCTTTGAGTATATACTCATGATTAAAGATAATAGCTACTTATCTTATTTATAGGCAGCAGAACCTAAGAAATAAGCCAACAGGCATTAACAAATTTGAGAGAATGATGGAATTAAGTGCCATGCAAATTCAAAAAAAACTGCTTAATATAAATCTGCGTATGCTAAGGTTTACATTTTTTTTTTTGAGTTGGAGTCTCACTCCGTTGCCCAGATCGGAGTGCAGTGGCCACTCCCGGCCACCGCAGCCTCGACCTGCTGGGCTCCGGTGATCCTTCCGCCTCAGCCTTCCAAGTAGCTGGAACTACAGGCCCACGCTACCATGCCTGGCTAATTTTTTGATTTATTGTAGAGATGAGGTCTCGCCAAGTTGCCCAGGTGGGTCTTGAATCCACGGGCTCAGGCAATCTGCTCACCTCAGCCTCCCAAAGTGTGGGATTACAGGCTGAGCCATGGAGCCCGGCTAACTTCCTCTTTTTCTACTTAGATACCCCTGATTGCATTCTCTTGTTCAACTGCTCTATCTAAGACTTCTTTTTTTTTTTTTTGAGTTGGAGTCTCACTCTGTCACCCAGACTGGAGTGCGGGGGC